TTTCTTTTTGAGAGATTAATTATAAAATAACATTTAAAACCATATAACTTTTTGTGCCGTAAGTCAAAAAGTAAGCAATATGCACAAAGTACATTGAGTCGTACGTAAATAGTTACTAAGGCTGTAGTAATGTGAAGAAAAGTTTACCACTTCTGTTAATAAACAGAAGAGAAAATAAAAGCAGTGATGTGTTATTTGTTACATAAACATACCAAGATTCTTTTAGGCTCTGAGACATATCCATGATTCAGCAGAATTTTTTCCTTTTTTTTCCTTGTGTAGTAAATAGCACTTTGCTGACTGGAGAAATTGAAATATTTGCGTACTTGATTTCCTACTATTAGGACCTGCTCTTCTGCTGCTTCTGAAGGATGGATACCAACTCAACTGCAATTACTTTTATAGTTTTTTAAACACGTAACAATATTTAAACAAAAACTTCAGCTGCCACTTCTGTTTCCATTATAGAAGTGCTTAATTAGTTCTCCTCCATGTTTCAGGTGTATGGCCGGAAGGTTCGGACGGAACGGATATCAATGCTGTTTGCCGATCACATGGCAGAAAACTGCTGTCAACTGGGGATGATTTTGGCAAAGTACATCTCTTCTCATATCCATGTTCGCAGTTTAGGGTAAGGGATTTCAGAACAACTCACTTTTGTAACTTAGAGAAATGTATTAAGTGTTGTTTTCCAATTTACAAATGAAAAAGTATGGTTACGTATACTCCAAAGGAATTTATTAAGGCTGAGACTAACGTTAAATTTCAATTTAATATTGGAGTATTTTAAAAGAGATAGGATGCTTTGGTTTCATTGTAGCTTGAATGTTATGATGATATGCTTTCAGGACACTTTACATTCTCACTTATGTGGTGTTTTCTAGGCTCCCAGCCATGTGTACGGTGGACACAGTAGTCATGTAACTAACGTAGACTTTCTCTGTGAAGATACCCATCTCATCTCCACAGGTGGAAAAGATACAAGTATTATGCAGTGGCGAATCATATAGAGGAAACATCTGTGTGATGTACACAGTTGAGTCGACCATGCACAGAACTTCTGTATAAACTGTATATTTAAAACTTAACAGTATGTTTGCAGTTTAGCCTGGTCACTGTGATTTTTGTTTAAAAAATTCTTACAAACCTCAGGAAAATTAAGCCCTGTGCTGGTTACTTTACTCAGTTTAGTGATTTTTTTTCATTGTTGTCACACCTTAAGAATGATTGTTTTTCTTTTGTGTACAATATACAATGCAGTACAAGTTTAATATAAAAATGTGGCTTGACAGTTTGCAATGCAGTGGTATCAGCGGAATGTGACTATCCTAAATGTTGTCTATAAACACTGCTAAAATGGTCACAAAAATGCCTTTCAAAAACTGTATATATGTGCTTACTTGTTTCACTATCTACACTTTGTACTGTATATCTACTTATTTAGAAAAATCTTTGGCAATGTCAAGGTACTGAATTGCTTCTGATAGAGGATGATGAATCGATACAAAAAGTATAAAGAAGATGCAAGCAGTGGTGTTCTTGATCTGCAGATGTGAATGCTGGCAAATGTACGTTCTCTTGGGAGTAGCACACTTTGAGTAGCACCTGTGAAGAGTTCTATTTCCTTTCAGAGGAGTGAAGCAGCAGATAACGTCCTGGTTTGAGCTGACTATCTCAGCAGGGTTTACAGATGGCCTTTGTGGTTCAGGTATTCTGGAGAAGTTTCAATTAAAAATCTTTTTACTTGTATATGACAAATTTCTTTTTGCAAATGAAACAAAAAGCTTGACCACATCCCCATTATTGGTTGATATATTTAACTAATATGTATATTAATCAGCATGATGCTATATTGTACATGTATAAGATTTTAGCAGTTCATAACAAATGGTAAGGCAATCCAGCTTTACTTTTTTATGCTTATGGATATTGTATATTTGTATTTTAAGACCAAGTAGACCAAGTCTAAAGATATCTTTTTAAGTGTACCATAAACCTGCATAGGGTAAAGGAAGTCTTCAAACCTACATGAAATATTAATATGTAACTTCTGGCCCCTGTGTTTTGTGCATGGATGGATATTTATAGTACGAAATAAGATTGTGTTTTGCAATGAAGTAATAGTGGAGGTGGTATAAAATGGTTAAGAAGGCCTTACCAATGGTGATTGTGACACAGATTGAAATGTACTGTTTACTTTGAGGAATGTATCTGAAGAAATTTAAGAGAGAGGAGTCTTCGGTGGACTCGAAAAAGATATTAAAATTTTGCTCGTAATGGACGCGTTAATTCTCTGAACTCTAAAGCACTGGTTGTTTAGAGTGATTTAAATGAAATGGAATCAATAAATTTTGAAGCTTTTTTTTATTACATCTCCAACCTCCTACACTGAAAGTGCAGGACACCAATAAACATGTATTAAAATGAATTTTCACTGTATTCTTACTGTGTAGTACAATATATTTGCTTAACATTAAATGCTAGAAGATACAGGCTTTTACCTAACGATGTACATTTGTGAATTTGAGATTAGAGTAGTTTTGGAAGTATTTGGGAATAAAATACTGTGATATGTAATTTCATGCATTAGCACGTGTCTGAGAACGTGAACTCCTCACATGGAGAGTGAAGCTCTGCTTCCACAGAAAGGGAGAAGTACATACTGCTTGCTTTCGCCTATAGGCTTCCTTGGTTCTGCCTGCTAGTACACAACATTTATTTCTCAGTGCTTGACTGAGAGGAGTGTCATTCCGCTGCACGGGGTGATGTTTGCAGCAAGAACTCCTGACATGTTTCTGTGTTAGGAACTTGTCCTCAGGTAAGACTGAAGCCAGGATGTCAGTGATTTTAGACAGATGATGTTTAGTGCTGTCGCTGAAGAGATTTTACTCCCAGCTTCTTATTCCTGTCCCATACAGCAGTACAAGAGTTAATGGAGATATACATTAGCTACATTAGGAGAATCACAAAACAGCAAATGTTTCCTCAGTTGTCTCCTCAGGTTTAGGATGTGGCTGTATGAATGCTTGTACCAAGGCAGAGGAAGCTGCAGTGTGAAGAAGGAAGTACATGGACAGAGTAGTAGAGGAACAGCTTCTTTCATTGGCAACATCCATCTCCCACTGTTTGACATCTGTGAAATTAAGGCATATTTCTGCTCTTCCTAACGTTAATCCAGTCCAGAGAAGCCGTAATATTCAAATACCAGGTTTTGTCTAGATAGCTAGTTGATTGTCAACATACCTCGTGCTTATTAATTGTTTTGCTTTAGCACATGGATCCTTTCAGGTTTTTTTTGCTTTCAGAATTGTAGTCATCTCGTTATTGCAGCAGAGAAAAGAAGAGCAGCCAATTGAGTTGGCCGTTCCTCTTTCATCTCTCTTCTCCTGTGCTCCTCTTTGGCTGTATTTGGGATCACCTTCTTTACTTAAAACTATTATTCCTTAGAAGAAATAACTGAGTTTATCCCTAGGGTTACTAATCAAAGGGGATTATCAACAGTCCCATCCCATATGAGTTCCTGCTACTCCTCTGTTTCTAACTTTCACTGTTCAATATCTCTTTGTTCCTCTATGAGAACAAGACAAATGTATTAGCAGAACTGGCAAATGATGAGTAACTTCTGGAGCCAAATATCCGTTTGATGACTGTTAAAGTTATTTGCCCTTCATTATCCAGGAAATGCTACACAATTTAACCATTGTTATGAATAATCTTCAGCTCTTCCATGTTTTTCTACCCTTGTTCTTTGGTTCTCACATTTATTTTTCTTGGATATGTCCTTTTTTATTTTTTTTTTCTCTAAAAATAGAAGGAGAGGAAAGAAAGACTTTATTTTTTCAACTTATTTCAATCTTCTAGCAGCAATTAGGACTCTTATACCTATGTTCCTTCATCTGATGGTGTTTCTGCAGCAGTTGCCTTTTTTCCGCCTTTCCATACAGCACAAGGATAGCTCACAAACTTAAGGGGTGGATGGGCTTCACATCCTTCTATGCCTCTGAACTTGGCTGAAGCAGGTTTAGCTTGCTTAAAAAAAAGTGATTCATCCCCATTGCTGTCATGTATCAAGCATTCAGCTTGTCCCTTTCAGCTTTCTTAGGCTTCAGTTCCTGTTTCTCTTCCCCTCATTTCAAGCACTGCTCTTCTGTGACTTCAGCTCGCAAAGCACATCTACCTTAGTTAGACCTTGCCTGCACATCTTGCTCTCCTTAACTGCTTACAAAACCAGTGACCTCTGGTCATTCGAGGGCTGAATTTCTGCTTTCCTACTGCATCCTTATTTATGCTGCTTTGACTCTAGACCATCAATATCTGTGACTTTGCATCCACTTTCAGCTCCTTCCTCCTCACCCTCCTTCCATGCTTCTGTTGGTGTAAGACTGCCACATTTGCCCAAAATGAGGATCTTGTATATGTCTGAGTGATTACCTACTGGAGCTGAAGATAACTATTAACTCAGTCTTAAACTATTCAGAAAGCAATACCTATGATTTCAGAAGACTTTTCTCCCCCTTGTATGTGCTTATAAGCCAAGCATGAAATCAATCTGTTTTTTAGAATCACCTATTTTCAAGTAGAAGCTTTTCATGGTTTTGTTCATCTCCTACGACTGTTTTCAGATATTTATTTTATTCCTGAAGGGCATACGTTATAGCAAAACTGCAGCCTTGTTCTTCTTAATTATGTGTTTTACTTGAATTATTACCTGAATATTAATTATTACTAATATATTGATGGTAGTGCTGAGGTTTGACAAGTTGTTAAAATCCAGCAGGAGTTGATTTTCTGCGGAAGAGTTCTATAAAGTCAGTTGCTGTACTAAACAAACCAAACAAGAAAAAAAGCACACCAAAGAGATAAATGTAAGAAAAAACAAATAACTTTTCAATGCTAGTGAATTAAAAAATTTCAAATACTAACATACCGTGAAGAAAATACTAGGTGTTTTTGTTTTTTTTTTAAACTATTTTAATTAATACAAAGTCAGATTTTCTTTATTAAAAGCTTGGATAAAATTTGTTCTTCAAAAGAATTAAATTTAGAATATGCTCTTTCCCTTCAAAATGATTAAGGTGACAAGAGTTCATAAGGGAGAGCAAAGACACTTTCCTGCAAAAGTTGGCATTTCTCGTTTCCTCAAGCTCTGCTCAGAGAAGCAGGAGCTGCTGTGTTTTCTCCTACATCCCTGGAACCAGCACTGTTGACAGATCACTCGATTGCATCCTCAAAATCTCTACAGATGGCACGGAAAATGTCACTTTAATTACTAGTGAAAAGAACAGACTTGTGAGAAGCCTAAATAGCAGTCTTTTCCTCCCGTTACTGGCCTGGATTCCTCGTTGTGCTGAAGCAGCCTCATCCTTTCCATGCTGCTCACCTTGCAGAGGGCTGCCCTGCAGAAAAGATGCTCCAAGCCAGGTCCCTGCATAGCCCCAAGGGTGGGGGGTAAGGAACCAGATCCTGAGAGTGAGGACAACTGAAACAGGAAGGGTCTGTCTGCTTCTGGATGAATGTGGTTGACTGCTGGATGAATAAGAACATTACTGGTTCATGTTCTTCATGAGAGGGATTTATGTTTCTCCTTAGTCATGCAGTTTTTCTGCAATTTCATTTTTCCTAATGGAACAACTTTCTTTAAATATAGATTGTGATAATTTACATTCAGGTATTGAGGGCAGCTTGGAGAAAACTCCCATCTAACACTAAATTTGGTAGACCTGTTCTCGTTTGTGAGAGTGACGGCTCACTTCTAAAAGCCTCCTGGGGGAACTTCATCAGCCAGGATGTTTCACAGCACTGTGGGCTCTCCTTGGTCTCCTGCCAGATGTGGATACGTACGTAAGCACGTATCTCCTTTTGGCAGAGCATTGTGACACTGTCATTGGCACTGGAGACCATAGGTGCTTCCTTTAGACCTTGCATTTTGTCTGTTTATGTAAGTTCCATGTCATATGTACTCCATACAAATTGATCCTTCCCACCAGCTCCACCATCCTACATTAGCAGCTTTGTTTTTACCACATTTTGGCTCTTTACAGATTACTTTAACTTAGAAGCTTCCATTCATTTATTGTGGACATATCTGCGCCCCAAGGTGCTGAGGGAATGGATCCCTGCTCTCTGGGTGCTTGTGCATGTGAACGGGTTTTTGGCAGTAGCCTCTAAGAAATGAACATTTGTGAAACCTGACCTGTGGAATTACCTGGAATAAACATTTAGCTGGAGGGAAGGAGGCTCAGCTGTTCTGTGAAGTCCAGTTATCAGCACTGCATGTGCTAAGTTTGCTCTAGATTCCAGACTGCAGCCTAGAGAAGTCTCCTTCAGGCTGTGCTGTCATCAGGGATAGGAAGCAAAATTAACAGGCTGGATCAGTTTTGCAGCCATGTTAGATGGTTTTGTCATTGCCCTTGTGCTTCTGAGACATGTTAAAGAGGGAAGTGCCTGCTGGAGGCAGCCTGAAGAGAACACTTTTCTCTGCAAAATCAATCACCTTGACTGTTGGCTGTTCGTTCTGGATTCAGTTTCTCAAAAAGACAAATGTCAACATTGTAGGGCTCCTTCCTTCCTGCCTAGCTTCTCCTTTTCAGCAACTTCCACTGACATCATAATTCTGAATTTATGACATCAGTGTGCAACCACAGGGGAGGTGGTTATGCCAGAGATTCGAAGCGCTTTGGCTGCGTGACAGCACCTGAGGAGAACAGAAGCCGACAGCAGGTTGCTGTAAGTGAAAAGTATTTCCCATGTGCACAGCTCCCATTCAGCAGAGGTGTGGCCACACACAGGCAGCAGCCCGTAGCCCTGATCATTACTGGCTTGGTGAGCACAGCTAAGATCCTGCTTTGGGGTCAGGGCACTGCTGCCTCTTCCTTAAAAGTTGATGCCCAATCAATCTTGACCTTCCAAGAGTGGGATCAGCGGGGTTTTAATGATAACAAAACAAACAAAATGATACCACTTGCTAAGTTCAGCAAGGGTGCAGACAGTCCCCATACAGAACTACGTCATCCCCTAGTGCAGAAGAAGCCTTATCAAAACCCAGGCCTTGGAAATGCTCCAGTGGGTTTAAACCATGAGCTGAGCTCGTATTTCTTCACGGTAGCTAAAGTAATTTGTTAAAAGGAAAGCTGGAAGTGTCAGGGTTGTTTATATGTTCTGTTCCTGCCCTTCTGCCCTCGCTGGTATGAAAGCACATCTCTGGAAATGCTGCTGGGGTGGCTGGATGCTGTTTTCTCAGAGCACCACGCGTACTGCGTGGTCTTTGGAACATTCTTAATGGTTTAGCTTTTGCACCCTGGCTGCCTGCATGCAGGTGGGTCACTGGTCTTTGCTTTAAGCTCTGTGGAGAAGCTCTAAAGGAAGATGATGACTGGCCTCGAGCAGATAGATAACATCAGAGCAGAACCCCAGGGATCGTACATAGCTGAGCTTCTACCAGCTTCCTGGGAGGCTGCAGCTTTCTTCTCATTCCCTTTTAGTGATTGTAAACCACGCTCTCTTGAGGTTCAACTGGAAAAACAAAAGTGCTGGTGGGCTTCTCCCCCTTTTCACAGAGATGTATGGGCTATGGGAGTGAGAGTACACCATGGCCCTGAGAGTACAATGGTCCCATCCTCTCCTTATCTCTCATTTTCACTTGAGGAAGCGTAACATCAGTGCATTTATTCTTGCCTAATCTGCCTTTTCTTATACTACTCCCCTTCTTCCCACTCTTCATTCTTTCCTCAATTTGCCTTTTCAATCTTGTTTTCTTTTTCTCTCCTTTTCTCCTTCAAAAAATCCTGAACGTTTGTATTCTCTCATTTTTCTTTAGGGTCCTGTTCCCTTTGCCTCCTGATAGACTCTTCTGCCATCTTGTCTCACTGTTTCAATCTTTCTGCATCCTTTGTTTAAACCAAAACTGGATAGAAGATGTTTCTTTTTATAATAAGGGTAGAGAAGCACTGGCACAGGTTGCTTATAGAGGTGGTGGATGCTCTATCACTGGAGGCACCCAAGGTCAGGCAGGATGAGGCTCTGAGCACCTGATGGAGCTGTGGGTGTCCCTGTTCACTGCAGAGCATTGGACTGGATGGCCTTTAAAGGTCCCTTCCAATTCTAATGATCCTGTGATTCTATGTGGAAGAGAATTTGACAATTACACCCTCTTTCCCAGCAAGGCCACCCAACTGAATGTTTTGGCAAAGTGTCACGTTGCCATCTAGATAACAAGTTTTGAGAAATACATGCATATGGATGTCTCTAGGCATTGTTTATCTTCCTAGCACTGCTCTGGGTTTTCAGCTGGCCTAGTGAATTCCTCTGAATTGCACAAGGATAAATCCTCCATGCTTAGGAAAGTCATTCCCCAAAAAGAATGTAAAAAAAAGCTGATGTGGAAACTTGTTTTCTCCAAAAAGAGCTTGGTATTTTTGTGCAGAAGCCTGTAGGAAAGCCTGAGGCTTTGGAGGAAAAGTTCTGAGATGGATAAACTGAGTGAGAAAAAAGTCACCAGAAGGCTCCAGCTGCAGGAGAGCAGCTCCATGGCCTTGAGCTGCTGCTGAGGATTGTGCTCCAGGCAGTGTGGTTCTTAGGGAGGGCCTCCTCCTCCCCAGGTAAAGGCTGTGAGCTGACACACAGCAGGCCCTGGTCTGCTGGGGACAGATCCATTGGGGAGGTGCCAGGAACTGGCACATCCTGAGGGATCAGAGAGTTGTTTGTGGTCCTGAAGGAGAATTTGCAATCAGGGGGAGCAGAAATGAGGCCACCAGGAGGCCAATAGGACATCTGATGTGCCTAGGTGTCACCCTGGGGCAGAGAAGGGTTAATCAAGACTCCAGGCTGGGCTGATATGCATTCTCATAGAGAGGAACATACTGATATCTCTTTGAAGACTTAGGTTTGTTATGGTAACACAGCGTAAGGTCTGTCCCAGCAGAACGTGGTTAAATCATTTCCTCAGACAACAGGGAGAACCAGTGGGCAGGACAACCACCAGCCCAGGCATGCTGATGCCAAAGGTAATAATTAATAATAAAGGGCTTATGGGTTTTGGTATTGCATAAGTTCCTAACACTGCTCTTCTGTTTCTGTGCCATTAGTAGATAGCAAGACTGGCATATGTAACAGCACATAACATCTCTTCTGCTTTTCTCTCGTTTCCTAATAGGAGAATAAATAAAATGGCTGATAGAAGGCTCAGTAGACCCACATACTCTGCATTCCTGCAGCAGTTCTCACACCGTGCCTTGGGCAATTCAGGCTCCCACCCCTTTGCAAGAGCAGATCTTGCACAAGCTCACAGAGATGTGCCCACGCACGGTGCCTCCTGGCAGCAGGGTCAGGCACAGCAGCTGTGGGCCCTGTGCTGTATGACTGTTACTAACCTGGCTTAAGGAAATCACGGGGGGGATAAAAACCACAACAGATGATGAATGTGCCCGCATATGAATTCACTCTTCAATTGTCATATAAATTCTAGCAAACTATTGTGAAATTTTCTACTTTAATAAGCATCCTCCTTGCCTTCTGCTGACCCCCATATGTCACGTGAGATGGTCAGTGACCACACTTCCAAGGATTAGGCAAAAGACAGTAATAAGAAAACAGGTTTTATTTTTGCTCACTAGTTTTGCATAAGCTCGCAACCTTCAGCAACCCCATCATACAGACAGGTTTCTACAAGCCAACGTCACTCAGTGCAAATTGCATATCAGATCTGTGGTCTGACACACTTCTTAAGTTTTGCAAGCCAAGTATATTGTGTGTTTGGAAATTTAGGGTAATTGCCTGTAAGAGATGACTGTTAGCCTTGGTTTCAAACAAATGAGGCTCCTTAGGAATAGGGGGAGCTCTGCTTTTAAGATTGCCCACGAGCTCATGTCAATTGTGGGATGACTTGGGAAGAGGTGCACAGGTGCAATGTGGGATGGGGGGGCACAAGCTGATCTCTGTGCTAATCAGGCACAGAAGGTGGTTCCTCCCTGGCCATGTAGTAACTCTGTCCCTAATTAGCTTTTGAACATCTTAATGGCCATTGGAAATAGCAGTTATTAGATATGCATTAGCTACCAAGGAACAAGCAAGCCCATGAATAAAAGGCACAGGCATTATTAGTACTGTGATTTCTGTTCCTGTCATCTGTTGTTGTTGTTATTGCTGTAGTGTATTTTCATTTGGTCCTGCAGCTGCAGCAGGGCTTGACAAGCCAGTGATCAAATAGGTTCCCAGGGCATCAAATCTATGGGCTTGATTTTTGCAGTACTTATTCTAGTGGCATAGGCTGCTGTCACAATAAAAATAAACGCTGTACTGGCCTGAATATATAGAAACCTTACATTTTCACAGAAGCAGAAATGCCAAGTATTTGCATTAAGAATAGCCCATCACATTGCCCCCTGCTTTGCTCCCCAGCCCTGTGCAGACTGCTTCTGTTCCTGACACTTAAAGAGGGGAGATTTATGTTAGATGTCAGGAAAAAATTCTCTATTTAAAGGGTGGTGAGGCCCTGGCACAGCTGCCCAGAGATCTGATGGTGCCCCATCGCTGGAGGTACCCAAGGCCAGGCTGGATGGGGCCCTGGGCAGCCTGAGCTGGTGGGGGGCAGCCAGCCCACGGCAGGGGTTGGCACTCAATGATCTTTAAAGAGTCTTTCAACATAAGCCAGTCTATGATTTTATGTCTTTGATACCCACCTGGAGCCTCAGTGCTCGCTGTGGGATTATCTGTGATTACATGATTGTTGGATTTGTTATATGTCCAAAGGGGATGACACTTGAACTGGGAGTTCAAGTGATGCTTGTCAGTTCCTTCCAACTTGGGATAGTCTATTATTCAGTGGGAGACACCGAGACACCGCCAGCAAATTTCCTTTTGAAGAGCCTCTGCTCTCTCAAGAAGTAACAGTGAAGTTGCAGGGATCTACGTATGAAAAACATGAGAAACAGCTGCAGAATTTGGTGCCCGTTGTGCCAGGTCCTTGTGGAAACGGGGGTGACAGGTTGACAGTTGGACAAGATGATCCCTTCCAACCTTAACGATTCCACGATTCTATGAAATCCAGAGGGTAGCGCTTCCAACATCACGTTTTTCTAGTTGATGATGTGTGAAAGGGGGCAAAGAGAGGCGGTGAGGGTCGGGGCAGCTCCCCGCTGTGCACCTGCGGGGACGCTGCTGCCACGAGCGGCCGCGGTGCTGGCAGGAGGAGCGGGGTGCGTGGGAAGTGGGTGCGGGACAGAGGCGTCTGACGGCGAGCCGGGAGGGCGTGGGGAGCAAGCGGGCAGTGTGCGGGCTCCGACAGCACCGCTTCCTGCGGTGGAAAACTGGAAATACGATTTCTGCCGTTCCTCCCATCCACCCCAATACCGCGCTGTAAGGGTGGCTCTCGGGTCTCCCGCTGCAGCCGGCGCCGGTTCGAGCGCTCCCATCTCTCGGCACCCACCCGCGGGGCCCGGCCGCCGGCGGAGGCTGCGCGGGGCGGGGCGGCCCCGCCGCGCGTGGGAGCGGGGCGGGAGGCGGCGGCGGCCGCTTTGTCCTGCCCACACGCGCTCACTCACACGCAGCGCAGCCGGGCGGGAGCCGGCAACATGGCCGGGCCGGCGG